AGTTGCTGTAACTAGATATTTTCACTGTTTTAACACCTTCGCGCCGAAGCCTAACCTAACCTGCAGCCGGTGAACATGGTTCTCGTACCGGCGTGAAGGTGTTAATCGGCTTTTGGGAGGTTTTCTTACAAAAATAGGCAAAAAATGTCCCTTGCAGACCAAAATTATAAAGTTATTTTGAAGAATTTTTGTAGGTAATCACTGGTAATCTCATCCTGTATACACTTCCAAATGGTGGGCCCCTCGGGGGACTGCCGGTCCCCTGGCAGCAGCGCGGGGTTTGTTTTTTATTGTGGTTTAAGCAACTCCCAACACGAGAGTGCACATTCACGCTTCTTTAAAGGGGTCCCCCCCCCGGGACAGGTAGGGAACCCCCTTGGGACCGCTGGGCTCCCTGTCCGTGAAACGTAGTGACGGTTCGTGGCTCGCCTGCCCCCCCGCCGCTGCCGAAAACCCCCCCTTTCCTAGTTTTTAGGGAGTAAAATCGCCCCCAAAATTTTAAAATTTCCCCGTTTTAAAAAATTCAACGGGAAAGGGTGCAACTCGCCATTACTTTGAAAAAGGATAAAATTGTGAACCCAAGGACCCACCATTTTGAAAAGGCCAGCTCCGAAAAATACTGTGACAAAAAATTTTGGCAAGAAATTAAAAGGTGGTACCCCACTCCAAACCGTTTTTGGCCAGAAAAAAAAGGCCTTTTGAATTGGGCATTGACCCCCCTAGGCCCCCCCCAAATTTTTGGGATAAGTGAAAATTCGGCCCAGTGAAAATTAGGCCGAGTGAAACACTTCCTACGCACGTGCATCTTTCGGCCATATGACATTTAGGGTAAATGAGAATAAGGTCTAGTGAAACAAAGCACCCACACCATTGGAAAACGGCTCAGCTCCAGAAAGTTAGGGCATGTGACAATTCGGGCAAGTGAAAATTAGGATGAGTGAAACAGCACTCCAAACCCGTTCGGCCATGTACATATTAGGCCTGGTGAAATTAGGGCGAGTGAGCATTAGGGCTAGTGAGTTTTAGGATAAGTGAAGATCCCCCAACCATTCGTTGAAAAGTTCCTATCATGACTCACATTTTATAGTCCAGGAACAAAAAAATTCTTGGTCAACTTCTCTTTCTCAAGATTCAGCTGGGGGTCCACTAAGAATCTCGCTATAGTGTCGCTACAGTGTCGCTTCAGTGTCGACCTCTTTTGTTAAACTTGTAGCTCTCACTGTAAGCTTTCAGAATCTGCCAAGAAAAGTTTCGGATTCTCAAAATTGTATTTGGAGAAGCAAAAAACAAGTTAATAACAGGAAAAGTAGCGATATACATCGGCAATTTGGCCCGTCCCGTTCATCAGAGAATGTGCGAATTTCGCCTATGTTTAACCCTGACGGGGTCTAAACCTGAGTCTGGGGTCAAAATAAATATTATTTTCGTCATCAGCGCCCTCAAAAACATCAGAAACAGTGCAAAAACTTGAATGAAAAGAATGTCCAAAATATACCCCACTGGGATTTGAACCCGGGTCCAAACTTCTCCGATTCGCTTGGAACTGGCACCGTTGGTTTTGTTTCGTCGCCCCGATTCCAAAAATACCCCTAAATGCCCTCCTAGCTGTATCCGTTGCCGAAATCCTCCTCGACCCCATGTGGACCATGATGCACCTGCAGCAGCGCCCCCGGGGCTCGGATCGGATTTGCTGCCACCGGGCGGTTCTTAGGGTCACCCAAGGAGGCTGCATACCAAATTTGGTCAAGATCGGACCACGGGAAGTCCTCGGACGGACGGACGGACGGACGGACGGACGGACGGACGGACGGACGCACGCACAGCAGGGATCATACTATATGCCCGTCCCTCCGTCATTTTTTTTACAAAAAATAAACGGGACGGGCCAAAAATGGTGGATTTTGGGGCGTTTTACGGAATTTTAAGCGTTTTTTTACAGTTTTTGACCTGTATTTGACCAGGTTTTGTTCGGAAACCACTTTTTCAACTAACAACAAAAATCGTTTGTCCTTTTTATCTAAAAAAACCACAGAATCGGCCATGTCACACTTTTCGCCTTGGGGCCGCACTGTGCGTTCGTGCTTGCGATAGAATTCACCGTGCCTTTTGATGAATCACGCGTTAGAATGGTCTTTGCTGATTGTATGGGCGTGACAATTCTGTCATCAGTGTCGATAGCCTTTGTGAGGAAAATAAGCCTTTAAATGGTTATCAACTGACAACCCTAATTTTTATCGTGCAGACCTCAATACCTTACACTGGCAACTGAGGAAATTACGTAAGTGCCATTGACCGTACCTCACGATGACATATATCATCGTAATACGTCTCAAGAAAGTACAAAAGAAGCAGGACAGGTTTATAGCTGAACTGGAACTGAAATAGTTACAGACAACTAATTATCATGGAAAAAATGGAACACTTCGGTTTGCAACTAACAGACAGTACGTTTCCTTACAAGGTAGGTTAAGGCCAGACCGCGTCATGTCGTAGGAGGCTTCGCGATGTCTCGCTGCCTGTTTCTCCAATCCACGCCTGGCGTACCTACCTTGGCCTGCGGCGCTTGCCTGCCTTCGGAAGGCAATGGCTCATCCATCGTCGGTTTCCTCTAACGTGTTGCATGCTGGGGCTCCGCCCCCTGAACCCCCTTTATTCTAGAATGAAATGCTTTATCTACAGATAACACGATCTTGACTCTTGTAACTTTTTCAATTGGCCGGGCTGGGAGGCGCCGCCCATAGACTCCCTTTCTTCCAGACAGAAGTGATCTTCCTGCAAAACAACTCGATTTTTCGCCTGTTTTGAGTTGTTTTTCGGCTATAAAAACTGAATTATTTAAACTAGGATAGTGAAATTTTGCGTGTGCTGAGCAAAGAACATACCCAAAAAGCGTGCAAAATCTCACAAAAATCGGCCCAGCCATTCAGGAGAAGTAGTGCGGGCACACACACACACACACACACACACACACACACACACACACACACACACAAACAGACCGACAGACAGACAGAAGGGAAAAACTTTTCAACCCCACAGGAGTAAGGGATCATGCACATACCACGTTACCAAAAAAAGGCCACTTTTGAACCCCTCCCTCCCTCCTTGTGACCCTATGTGACTCTTCCACGACCCCTCCCAACTCCCTCAAAAGTCACGTGATAATTTTTGGAATTTGAATTTTGTGACTTTGTAAGACTGTGTTGCCAATTTTGACGTCTTTTCATTGTTTCTTGGATTGCGCAAGATTGGAGTGTGGATAAGAATGCTTTTCTACGGATGGACAGAACTTGAAATGGTCACACTAACTGACTATAAACGTTTTCATGTGCACCCACGTACGAAATTGGACATGTGTTACTTGCGCACAAATTTGTGGGCGACAATGCGCGATTTTGTGCGTGTGCAGAAAATCGCGCCTTGTTCCGCGCGAATTTATGCGTATGTTAATGCATGTTTAAATCCGTACGTTGCGTATGCAATTTAACCTACACAGTCAGTGTGTTAATAAATGACTGTTGTTCCTTGCTTACTTTAAACCTTCCGAAGAATCCGCCCTGTTCGAAACAAAGAGATTAATTTTGACATACGCACTTTGTACACACTTTGCTAACTCGTGTTCGTAATTTGCGAAGAAAGTGTTTGCATTATAAATTCTTATTTAAAGGTTTGTTCGCAAAATTACGAAAGCGCAATTCTTAACATTTTACATTCTGCAGGGTTTGTATTGTTAACACATTTTGTAGGCAAGAGTGTGCTGTAGAAATTGTAGTTTTAACTCAAGTGTCATCATCTTCAATCTTAAACACAATGTCTGTTAAGTTCTGAAATATTCATGTCACGTGCCTCATTGGCAAGCCCCCCGTCCCTCCTTTTGACTTACAGTGACTGTTTCGCAACCCCTCCCTCCCCCTAAATAGGTCACGTGGTATGTGCACGACCCCTTACTGGCTACGCTATCGCTCAGCCAACGAAAGAACGTCTTTACACTCCCGACAAAAATAAGCGGAACGCTTTTATTCATCGTCATACTTTCTAAGTCTTTCGTGCTGAGAAAGTCAAATTTTGTACACGGGTGCCCCCACTTCTCCCCCCGAGGCCTGCGAAGCGCGTGGCCCGTGCGCCACCCCTAACGGATGGCACCTACCCCTAAGTGCGCAAGGGTTGAAAAAAACGATGAAAACGTGCCGTTAAAACCAACTTTTCCTTATCGCAGAGTCCAAAGTTTTGGTTTGCGTCGTGAAATGAGTCTCGTCTTTCCGATGATGCATGCGGAATTCAATTTGAACCAACCCACTACCCGGTGCACTCACCCCCACCCCCTCGAGGGGGTGGTTTTCGAGCATGTTCCAATTTCGCGCAAAAAAGTGGGGGGGAGTCCATCGTACCAAGCAATCATATTATTTTGAGGTTCAAACCATTCTTGGGTAAATCATTCCCCGGAAATCCGCACCCCCTTTCGAACACCGGCCGTCCGGGCCCTTTCAGTATCAGCAAACTGCTGGAAAACTCCACACGGTGAAACTGATGTCTGGAAATTTCCAGGTATTTTTTCACATTGCCAGATAATATCTGGAAATGGCTGTTTTTTTTCAGATATTGTCTGGAAATGTCTTCTTTTTTTCAGATAATATCTGGAAAAAGTCAAGTCTCAGATATATATCTGGAAATAACGCCGTGGTCACCGACGCTCTAGGACAAGCGGTTCCGGAGATACAAGGACGTACCACCCCAGTGAGAAATGGCTCATCGAATCGACGTCGATTCAACATCGACACGGTCGACGATGTTACGTCGATTTGGAACGTCGAATCGACCCATATATGGTCCCAGAATCGATGTGCCGTCGACATCGACAATATCGATGAATTAAATCGACGCAAAATCGACCAATTCTAGGGAGCGGTCTCACCATGAAGTAGGGCCTTCCTGCCATTCTCTCATGGTCTCACAGTTGTTCAAAAAGTTACAAAAAGGATCTCAAAAAATAAATAGCAAAAGAGTTTTCATTGTAATTGTTTATTTGTATTGCATACATAGACAAGGATTTCAAGAGCTCAGGGTTCTTTAAAGTATTGAAAGACTAGAACATAAAGCGACTAGAACAAAAACTAGAACTGACACTGGAGTGGGTCTAGTCCACAAGAAATTCCCTATCTAATGGCTGAAATAACACACCCTACAGAAATGAACACATAAGGGCTTAACAAAAGTAGCAAGTAGCTTTTTCAATTAAACTATACAAAATGAGATTTTGATCCAGACCTTTAAAAAGACAACAAAACAATAAACTCTTTTTCATGTTCTCCCTTTAGGAGGCAACATAACACATTTAATGGCTTCCAAATATGTACTATAAGCCTAATCTCGATAATTCAATTGTAAAGATTAACACCTACATGCTTATTTTGTCCAAGCCTTATTGTGACAAACCAAGCAAAACTGAGATCATCTATATTTGGCCAGACAAAAATCACTTCTAGGCCTAAAATTTAAAAACTAAAAAAAATCTTGCAGGGTGACAAGTTGGGTACAATAAAGCCTACATTCATTTTTAGGATGACTTCTTTTTCTTGGCCTTCTTCTTCTTTTTCTTTTCACCGTGCTGTTCATCTTTGGAGGCCTCTCTCTTACTTTTGCTTCCATCTCCCTGCTTCCTGTAAGGAGCATTACGAAGCCATGACCTGGCAGCCCTTTCGGCTTCTTGCAGATCGGAGTTTTCAACTTTAGATAGTACAGCACCTGGAGATATGAGGAAGAAAAAACATGGAGAAAATCAAGCAATCTATAATTAATTTAGAGTTAATATTTGTACAAACATAACTAAGCACCTACCTTGGACTGATTGCCACAACTTTAATTCTTTAAAGCCTCGTTTGACACCTTTGCCATCAAAGCTATAATACTTTGCAACAGCGTTGTCCATCACGTTCCTGAGTACCCTCATCACAGATTTATATTCTTTATTTGGTTCCTTGTTGACAAAGCAGGAAAGCATAATAGACTGCAAAAATAAAAAAAGAAAACAAATAAGACCACGAATTGTACTTATGTTTTCACGATAAACAAGAAAAAATTTACATACCAAACTAGTGACATTCTCCGAATTCTCTAAGAACCTCTCCAGAACTGCCAGTTCTTTCTTGGTTTTAACCGGGGTTCCTGGCATACCATCGGGCCTGGAAATCACTCTTTCGCCAGGCAATAAGTGCAAGTTTAGCTTTGCTTGGTTTGTCATCACTGTGTTTACTTTTTGATGTAGTCCTTTCAGTTCAGACAGAACTTGTCTTTCAAATGCTGCAAAAATAAAATATAAAACCAATTATAATACAAAAAAATGAGATAAATGACATAGAACATTAGAAACACGAGAAATGTCACTAATACTAACGACTTAATATGGGAGCATCAGATGTGAACCGAGAACTCGAGTTAACTTTTGAAATATCTTGATCTTCTAATTCTTCTCCACTGAGCCCAGAGTCATTGCGAGAACTAGTCCTTTCCTGCTGATCTTTCTCTTCATCACTAATTAAAGTGGTGTTTCCTTCATCATCCTCTTCATCACTCACAGTTGTGGTTTCTCCATTATCCTCTTCAGAACTCCCAGATGTGGATCCTGAATCATACTCTCCATCGCTTGTTTCACTGCCACTGGGTGCCCTGCCATCGTTCTCGCTCTCAAGACATTCATGCAATTTTCCCTCCTTTGTGGCTCTTTCGTCTCTTTTTTTCTGAGCCTCTCTCTCTTCTTCCTCTTTTTTTTTCTGTAATACTTCTGCAACTTTTTTCCATCTAGCTTCTTCTTCAAGTTTTTTCTTTCTAGCTTCTTCTTCTATTCTTTTCTTTTTAGCTTCTTCTTCAATTCTTTTCTTTTTTGCTTCTTCCTTTAGTTTTTTCTTTTTAGCTTCTTCTTCAATTTTTTTCTTTTTAGCTTCTTCTTCAATTCTTTTCTTTTTTGCTTCTTCCTCTATTTTTTTCTTTTTAGCTTCTTCTTCAATTTTTTTCTTTTTAGCTTCTTCTTCATTTTTTTTCTTTCTGGCTTTATCTTCTTCAATTTTTTGGGCTTGATCTTCATCTTCAATACTTTTCGTGTTCACTTTATCTTCTCCCTCTTTTTCTTTCTGTACGACCCTCCCTTCCTCCTTTCTTCTCTCGCCTTGTGGATTTTCTTCATTGAACAGTTCTTGTTCAGTTTCTTCCTCCATATTTTGGCTCAGGTCGATATCTTCCTGGAACCTTCTCTCTTGCACGAAATTAATAACTTTGGTCTTTTCCAAATTTTTTTGTTTCTTTTTCTCCTCTAAAACTATTTTTAAATTGTCAATTGAAGAAGCCTTGGTGCCTCTATCTTTGCGAGAAATATTCATAGTTTTCGAGTTGCTAGCCTTACGAGATGAGGATTTTGATGATCCAGTTTTTACCACAACTTTTTTTGTAGGCACTAAGCTGGTGTCTTCAGATGAATTATCTTCTTGAGCACTCAGTAATTTTCTGGGTAGCTTCCTCTTGCGATGCCCTAGACCCAGCTCTGTCTCAGTGTGGTAATCAGATTCATCTACTCTGTGTTTCCAACCCAAATGAGCTTGAAGGAAATTGCCTGAAATAAACATAAACAAAGTACTTTAAAATGTGATTCAAATACTGTATATACGACAAGCTAAGTACAAATATTGGCTGATACAAAATAAAAGTGAAGCCTGTTGCAGTCTGAGAACTAATAATATGCACCAACGTGACACTTTTAATTGGCTGGTTACAGACAGAAGAATAATGTTAAATACTACTCACGGTACGTTTTTACTAGAACACACGGATGGTCCACCCAGTCTGGCTCCGGCTCTTTCTTCTTCATTAGAAATGCCTTTAGTTGCTCAAATGTGGGTTCAAAAGGTGGCCATTTGCACACAAGAGAACCATCGGGCTTATTGGAAAGCCATTTGACAAGAGCAAGGCCCAGTGCCTTTTCACCAGCCACCACATTTTGCAGAAACTCCAAAAGAGCATACTGTAACAGAAAAAAAAACAACAAAGTTAAAAATATTGTATGCCGAACACCGGGGTGGCACTTAACTATTTTGAATTATTACTAACTTAAAGAAGAAGGGGAAATGAATGAGATAGTGAGATTGAAATATAGGTGCCATCATTTTGCGGCATCAGCCAACACTTGGCAAAAACCACAGCCAGTGGGAACGTTTCCCATTCATCCCTCAATCCCCACACATGCAGAATGCCTAGTTGGGAAGATCTGATAGGAAAGGTATACACATCATCTTTGTCAGTGAACCTTGTTGCACGGAAAAATACATTTCCATCTCTTACAACAATGTTTCTTAAGATGGCAACTACCCCATCAGTGGTCATAAAACAAAAATCCCTATCTTTTAGGCTAAATGTGGTCTTGTTGACATTTATTCTTCTAAATTGATTGCCTTCAAAGTCTTCATTAGGGTTAAAATGGGGCTGGAAAAGTTCAACTTCATTTTGAGTGGGAAGCAAGGAAATCTTCTTTTTCCCAACTTTTTCAGAGTCACGCTTCATTGCCTGTTCCAGATGTAGATGACCAGAGCGAAGGGATTCTTTGATGCTTTTTAGAGCATTCTCAAAGCAGAAAGTACTGAAAGATTCCAGTTCTCCATGATTCCTACACTCATCACATAGATGTAAAATGGAATGCACATTGTAGCTAACAAAGGCATTACTGAAAATTTCAGCTGAATAATCAACAAACCATTTCAGAAAATCTTCTGCAAAATCTGTGAACCGCTGAAGCAGATAAGGACTTGACAGAATTCGGATACCACAGTGCAAAAGTAAAAACAAGGAGTACATCTCTTCATGCAACAAATCTTTAAAAACGATGCAACCATCATACAACAGTAAGCGGCGCAATTCTGTTGCTTTGTACCTGTTGTACTTCTGGAACTGTCTTGGTCGTCGATTAAAATCCCGAGGGCAGCTGGGAATCAAAGCTAGCAATCTTGTTGAAATTGCATTCATAGTGTCGGCATTTGGATTCCAGTACCCTTCCCATGAGACAAGCGCATCAAGGTATCTCAAAAAAACTCCCTTGTAGACAAGATGTAAAGTATCAAGTCGAAATTGGCTCACAAGGCCGACACCAAGGAGTTGTAGAGGAGAGATACCGGTGTGATGCAGGCGGTCCTCCTGATTTGCATAAGATTCATCTGTACGAGGCCTGCAGTCCGCACCCAAATGAGAGTAGTTAAATCTGCCATCCTCATAAACACCCACCACAGTGCACTTCTCACATGCACCGTAGCCACCATGGCCAATACAGCACTTGACAAAGGACCTGGCAGGAGCATCAAGAATGAAGTGCCTCAATCGCACGTTGTGAACCTGTCCATTGCACTCATAACCGTTTTGCTGTAAATCATGCACTTCGAGAACAAAGTCTCCAAGATAAAGATCCACATCAGTGGGATCTTTGGATCCACAATAAATGGCAATTATGAACGGAGGATCATTAGTTCCAACTAACTTTCCCAAAATTGGCCAAAATTTACCCATAGAACCAGGCAGAGGTAAGCCATCCATGTTTACATCAATTTCAATAACTTCTCGAGCCAAAAGATAATCATTCAAGTCTCTTTGGTCAAGGCTTAATCTTAGTCCTTTATACCAGAATTTTTCGTTGCCTTGTTCAAGATTGACATGGCCAGCAGTATTTAACAAAGTTTTGTACGATAAAGGAATGTTGGGGAAAACATAAGCAAGTTTTCCTAACAACTCGTCTACTTTAGACATTGAAAGTACACCCCCGCTGCTTGCCCATTCCATCAAGGATTGGATGACATACTGCTCTATATCTTCTGGATTCACTCCATCAGCAGGGGGATCACCCAGTCGACATTGCTAGTACCAGGTCCCTGACTGTACCTCCCTCTGACCTCCATGCGAAGTCCGTTTCGTATGTCCATATCTGATGTCAGCTGGAGTAGTGATGTACTACGGTCTGGTACGTGAAAAGTGCGGGAAACGCTACTCCGCCATCTTGGTCCTGCTGGTCGCACTCACTAGTCCCTCCATAGTACAGAGGTAGTCCGAATCCGGACCATGCATATGTCCGTGTACTTGTCGCGTTTGTACAGGTTTTATGCAACCAGAAATGGGACAAATTACTGCCGCTGGGCGTGGCGTTGGGGAATTCCATTGTAAAATACATAAAAAATCGTTCGTGAATTTCATTTGATTTCCTGATGAAATTTTCAATTTCTTGAAAAAATTTTAAGTTTCCTGACAATTTTTTATTTTTTTGGAGGAAATTTTTACGTTTTAGAGAAAAATTTTAGTTTGAAAATGGAATGTCTTTGCGTGACACACCGGTATTAATTACACGCACAGTGATTTCTGGTTGCTTATTACCTCTAGAAAGGTGGCAGTAGGCGTGCATTGCAAGGTACGAATCGGGACTACCGTTGTACCACGACAGTACCAGGGACGACGGTCGGTCAGGACTAGATGGCGGATTGCACTCTCAGTATTGTCCGCTAGATGGCGCCAGTGTCGCTTTAGTCACCTGTTACAATTAAAAGGCTCTTCTAGCCAAAAGGTAGTGTACTGAAAGTTCTGAATAGATGGAAACTGAAGTGCTAAGATGAGTGCGATGTACTGCTGTAAAAATTACGGCGGTATCAAAACTAATAGCGGAGCAATCGACAATTGAATGGTTCCTCTCGCGGCATGCTACGGGTCGCAGTTTCATTAGGTACCGCAGACTTGTCCCAGTGAGTCGAAGTGAAATCTGCCGCAATCAGCCGTAACTTCTACCTAATTTTTGAATCGAGGTATCTGCCTCTGAGGGTCCTTTGGCACCCCACACAAGTGAAGATCTTCACCCTTGCGTCACAATATTGTCGAATTTGCATGGGCCGACCGCTAGTCCAGTGGTGGTCCAGCCGAGGTACGGAATGGTAGTACGGGGTTGTACTAGGCCCGTACCACAGACGGATGATGCCGAGGACAGCCAGCAGACTACCTTTTTTGGGCAAACGGTAGTTCTCCCGTACTTCAAGAAGGGATGATCCGATATCTGTGCCTGGATGTCCAGTGGAGGTCCCGCGTAGTAGGAAATGTTGACTGGGCATTTGCATCATTATCATCGAAATCATTTTCATGTGGATTTGGATTTGCGTTTGGATCCACGTCCCCATCAGATGCAATGTCACTTGCGTTGCTGTTGACAACTTCATCTAAATCACTGCCATTCATGTCATCATCACTGTCACTATTAGCGTCACTGCTACTATCACTGTCAGTCTCAGGGTCAGATGATGGTTCACTATCGCTGCTTGACTCTGGTGGATTATTTAAGGGATTATTTAGCAGACGTTGCCTCAGCACCTCCAGGTTTTCAAAGTCCTGCACTTCTCTACGAGCTCTCCTCCTTGCCCTTCGAATTTGAGCTCTGACTTCCTGTTGGTACTGAGAAATTGGCCTCAAGTCATTACCATTCCATTCACCCATTACCATTCACCCACTCAACTAGCAAAACAGTCCGCCCTAACCTCTCGATTTACCAGCCCTGTCACAACTTACCTGAGGATCGTTGTCATCAGCCATCCTTCAATTTCAATACACCAATTTCGACTACCTGAAAATTTGATGAAGAAGTGACATGAGGACAGATCACATCTCAAGTAAAAATAAGTAAAAATGTTTACCTTTCCTACACCCGGCGACTCTACTTACTGAAAATGGCGTCGTCGAATCGCGTTCTCGGTGGTCAAACAGAGAGACTAAACAGCGTGGTACTGAATTCAAATTAACTTTTACTTTGGTCTGAAAAGCTCTAATTCGTAACTGATTTAAACATAATAATTTATGGACGTACTTTGACGTAGGAAAACACACTTATTAAATCCTGCCTTGCAACTGCTAAACACTGCACCTGAGCTGAGCACGGAAGGCGCGGAAATTCAAACCCATCAAGACAAGGGGCTAGGTTACATCGATTTTCTTCCGTCAGCTATCCACATCGATTTGACGTCAAAACGACGTCGATTATAATATTTTCAATTTTTTAAAAGAAATCATCCAGAAAATACGAGTTTGAGATGTTCTTCTATCTAATTCGACTTGTTTGCAAAAAAATGCCATTTTTCGCGAACGTCGAAATGACTTCGATTTGTCGACCTTTCAGCCATCGACCAGCAGACGATGTTGTCGACAGCGAATCGACGTCGATTCGATGAGCCATTTCTCACTGGGCACAAGGAGTCCGTCAAAGAAACTTATAAGTCGGAGGCCAAAATCATCATCGGCCTCTGGCTGCGTTCCACTTGGGTGTCCGGGACTTTTGACTTCAGCATCGTGTTAAGGTAGCGCTTGACTATTAGGAACCCGTCAGCGGTCGTCGTCGGACCTCCCGGTGCGCCCAGGATGCCGACGGGGCTATGTCGCTGGCGGGCATGACCTGAGGGCCAGGGGGCTGGATGGTCAGCAGCGGGCATCGGAGGGAAAAGTCGCGATTATGCGGGAAAAAAGGGAAATGTCCTCTAGCGGGCAGGCGGTGGTGTGGCCTACCTCTTGGGCGCTACACCGGCAGACCAGCTACACTGGGTTAAAAGTCGTGAAGTGTGCACGCTCCAAAACGCGACTGCGGCGGATCTATTTCCGGGATACTAGGGACTTTGGTAGAGAACTTCGGATTTGTGCCGGCTTTGTTTATATGCTGGTCTGCTTCACTCGTGTAAATTTTGTCAGAGTGTCAGAGACATGTCTAATTCGCGCACCTCTAAAAGCTTAAATTTTGAAAACTTATGCTAAATTTGATGGTCTGAGTCCGTTGTCGCCACCAACCAGGTGGTCCCAAGTGGTGTCCTCGAGGTCCGCAGGACACATGGAGTCCAACGCTCATGTCGCTGACGCTCTAGGAGAAGCGGTTCCGGAGATACGAGGACGTACCACAAGGAGTCCATCAAAGCAAAATTTTTAGCTGGAGGCCAAGACAGCTTCGGCCTCTGGCTGCATTCCACTTGGTTGTCCGGGACTTTTGACTTCAGCACTGCAATAGGGTACTGCTGGGCTACCAGGAACCCATCAGGGGTCGCCGTCGAACCACCGCACAGTGGGGCGAAACCAGAAAAAGTCGCACGTAAGTCCGATTTTGCCGTTTGAGTCCTAGAGGAATATGACCAACGTTTCTGAACTCAGGAAGGACCATTCTTTACAGATACGAACATTTTTGGCATCTCAAATAACTACAACTTGCCGTTAAGGGACCTCAAAGAAGAGCAATTTCGCGAGAAAATGATAAAATTTGCGGGGGTTGCGCAAGAAAGGCCACTCCTACCGCTGTTGCAGATCAAAAAAACATGTTTTAAATGTTTTTGGAAAGGCAAAAATCAAGCAGTCCTATCTATTCATTGGAATTGGTTTCCATCGAAACTGGGAAAACTGCGGGTCTTCAAATGTTCGCGGATATCGTCGTCTGCGACTTTTTTGCGAGGGGGAAACGACTGAGAAATTTTGTGTACATCGGATAGGGATAACCCCGGATAACCCACAGATTACCTCCGGATTACATCGAAAAATTTCCAGGATTACCATTGGATTACGCCGGATTACCTCAGAATTACCCCGGATTACTTCAAAATTTCTGGTTATCCGGATAGCGGATAACCAATTTGCTGTACATCGGATAACCGAAGTCGTTTCCCTCTCGCTTTTTTGACAAGAGATAAGTCGAGTTGCGAACATTTGCGAACCGGTCGGGCACCGTGGTGAGATAGTATTGTGACCCCACTTTCATGTCCATTTCGTCCGGCGATGCCGTTCGATGCCGTTTTCCTTCAAATCGACGTCAAACATGCGACTTTGTTTCGCAGCACCACGTCACCGCCACACAGTGGGACGAAACCTGAAAAAGTGCCGATAGTTTTGGGATGCTCCGATCGTCTCCAAAATTGCCACCCGGGGGGTTTTGGATGATGAGAAACTCGTGTCCGTCAACGTCGAAAGCCGGAAACGAACGCCAGGGGCGAATGCAGCAATCAAGGAAAAGGTTAAACTAGATCCACCCCTGGCGTTCGTTTTCGGCTTTCGACGTTGACGGGAACGAGTTTCTCATCCCCAAAAACCCCCCGTGTAGCGATTTTGGCATCGTTCCGTGCGCTCCGAACGGTTCACCCCTCCTGGAATGTTGGATCCTCCCCTGGCGTTCGTTTTAGGCTTTAAATTTTAACAAAAACGAGTATATCATCCCCCAAAACCCCCGGGTAGCGATTTTGGAGACGATCGGAGCATCCCAGAATTATCGGCACTCTTCCGGGTTTCGTCCGACTGAGCGATACAGGCACTTTTAAAGGCGATTTTCTCAAAACGCTGAGCAATGCCGAGCATTTTATGATATTGACTAGAAAGCCGAGAAGCTGCCCTATGACGGGCATGTCACAGACCCGTTCGCAAATGTTCGATACTCAACTTATCGCATCGTAAAAATCGTTTAAACGTTGATTTTGCAACACTTTTAACAGCGTCCAACTTTTACCCAGCTGACCAAACAGTAAATCTGAGGGCCGCACAGGTTTCATTAGGTCATAAGCTTTTCAAAAACATTAAATAATACCTTTATTGGCTGAGCGATAGCGAAGCCTGTTACTTCAGTGGGGTTGAAAAGTTTTGTCTATGTCTGTCTGTCTGTGTGTCTGTCTGTCTGTGTGTCCGCACTACTACTCCTGAACGGCTCAGCCGATCTCGGTGAGATTTTGCACACTTTTTGGGTATGTCCTTGGTTCAGCACACGCGAAATTTCACTACCCTAGCTCAACTGGTTCAGTTTTTATAGCCGAAAACACCTAAAAAACGGCGAAAAATCGAGTTTTTGTTTGCAGATAGATCACTTTTGCCTTGGAGAATGGGGGGTCTGGGGGGCGGAGCCCCCCAGCATCCAACAAGTTAAACAACAACCGACAATGGACAAGCTATTGCCTGCCGCCGGCAGGCTAGCGCCGCAGGCCAAGGTAGGTACGCCAGGCGTGGATTGGAGGAACAGGCAGCGAGACATCGCGAAGCCTCTTACGACAAGACGCGGTCTGGCGTAAACCTACCTTGTCTCATAGGAGACGGCTACCAGGAGGGAAACTATACGCCCTTTTCAAAGTTCACACGAAGACCTGAAAATGTGTCAAGTTTGGCGCTCCGCAGGGGCTCGAACGTGTGAAATACTGTCAAATCAATTAGTATCAGGCATAGCTCAGACCTTTCTTTCAAACATCTGATAGTTTTAGGGACGCGGCCGCTCAACTTTAAAAATGCCGCTTCTCGGCACTTTTTTCACGTTTCGTCCCACTGTGCGCCACCGCGCCACGCTCTCGGGAGAGGAAGGTAGAGGCTATGCGCGCTGACTACTTCAGGCAGCTCTGCCTGACACTGTTCCACACCAGACATCGTTTCGGGCTGCCACCGATAGTGATACTTACAACTTCCCTGGTCATGCTGTTACGCCAAGACATGCATCGTTACGCACGCCTCGGATGCAGCCATAAAAAAGGCGGCCCAAAAGGTGCGTTAGGTCGTCTTCTGGGTATCTTTTGTCTTCTTATCTCCTCAGAAATGATTTTCACTTCCAATGAAACCCTCAAATCCAAAGTTTCGCGAAAATTCAGCAATAAGGTTCGTTTTACCCCCCTTCACGCACCTTGCTCCGTCTCTTAGGGAGCCTTTCACGTTCAAATCTCGTCAGAAATGAATTCAGCGACTCCTAAGTACACTATACACAAAATTTGGTGGAGAAGAAAATTTCGTGCGACTTTTGCCGTTTTCGCCCCACTGTGCACCGGTGCGCCCAGGATTTTATGGTGTCGAGCGTCCGGGAACTCCGGGGTTTCCGGGAAAACTCCAGGAATTTAGGCCGCCGGGAAAAATCTGGTAAAATTCTGAGAATTTAACTTTTGATCCGGGAAATTTTAAAAATTGGTCAGACAAATCATGCGTTGGCTAAGGCGACCGGTAACGCATTGTGTGGCTCTGGCCTGACAAATGACTTCAGAGATGCCAGCGGCCCACTATTCTCACTTTCAAAACAAAATAGTGAATTTCCTCACTTTTTGGCCCGTCCCGTTTATTTTTTGTAAAAAACATGACGGAGGGACGGGCCAATAGTATGATGCATGCTGTGCGTCCGTTCGTTCGTCGGTTCGTTCGTCCGTTCGTTCGTCCGAGGACTTCCCGTGGTCCGATCTTGACCAAATTTGGTATGCAGCCTCTTTAGGTGACCCTAAGAGCCGCCCGGTGGCAGCAAATCCGATCCGAGCCCCGTGGGCGCTGCTGCAGGTGCATCATGGTATACATGGGGTCGAGGAGGATTTCGGCAACGGATACAGCTAGCAGGGCATGTAGGGGTATTTTTGGAATCGGGGCGACGAGACAAAACCAACGGTGCCAGTTTCAAGCGAATCGGAGAAGTTTGGACCCGGGTTCAAATCCCAGTGGGGTATATTTTGAACATTCCTTTTATTCAAGTTTTTGCATTGTTTCTTATGTTTTTGAGGGCGGTGATGACGAAAATAACATGTATTTTGACCCCAGACTCAGGTTCAAACCCGGCAGGGTTAAACAAAAGCGAAATTCACACATTAGTTAATGTACGGCACGGGCCAAAGTTGCCGATGTATATCGCTACTTTGCCTGTTATTTACCTCAAAAGTCATAATTTTCACATTTTTGGTAGTTCGGATCATAAAATTTCGTAACATTTTCGAATTTGAGCAAGTTTTGGGGAGTTAAAATGCATTGACTCACTGAAGGCAAATTTAACACTGATCCAAGGTTGAAATGTGGTTGGCTCTGGCTCGCTTTGCTTGCCAAAGTTGCCTTCAAACAGGCCGCAAAAGGGCAGGAGCGTATAAATTTTGAGTATCTCAGGGGCGACAAGGCATTAGCTTGAAGCTCGCTTCGCTCGCCAAAACTGCCGCTACGTACAACTTCCTCGAACAGACGCCAGAATTTGCGGGTGGATCGATCAATATCCGTTCTTAGTACCTTGGGGAGGCGAAGGAAATAGGTCAATTCTGTCACCTTTTAAAGTCTCTCTGAGTGTAGCCCGGGCATTTCAGCCGAGCTTGGCACCTCTACATTTCATAATTTTTTCGTTGGTACACAACGTCTGTATAAAGGCGATTTCTCGGGAAAAAAAGTCCCAAATCGTTTCTCTTTAGGTAAATTTATGCTGATTTTTCTCAACACTTTCGGAAAACTCTCACTTTTCACTCTTCACTTCACACTCTTCACTTTTATGTTCCTAGCAATTGTACGATTGTGTGAGTTTTGCGTAAATTTAGAGTTTTTTTTGTTTTTTTTGCAATACAAACAAATTTATCAGTTTTTTGTGAATTTTCCTTTTGTTACACCCTTAAAACCCAGTCATTATTTGGTTTAAAATATCCAGGAATTCGGACGAAAATAGGCCGGGAAATCCAGGAATTCAAAATTCCGATAGCACTCGATGCCATGTACTCTGATGCTCGCAGTTGCGACGGGGGACCCGACGACCGTTCAGGCCACCGGTGGTCCGACAGAGACCCCTGACGAGTTCCTGGTGGCCCAGGAGCACCCAAACGCAGTGCTGAAGTAAAAAGTCCCGGACACCGAAGTGGACCGCAGCCAGAGGCCAAGGCTGTCTTGGCCTCCAACTAAAAATTTTGCTTTTTCGGACTCCTTGGACTTCTTGTGGTACGTCCTCGTATCTCCGGAACCGCTTGTCCTAGAGCGTCAGCGACCTTGTCGTTCGACTCCACGTGTCCCGGGGACCTCGAGGACACCACCTGGGACCACCCTGGTGGTGGCGACAACGGTGTCGAACCGTGTAGAGGCACAGCACCCACGTTCGTCGGCATCCTGGGCGCACCGGAGGACAGACGACGACCGCTGACGGGTTCCTGGTAGTCTGGCACTAGCTTAACACGATGCTGATGTCAGAAATCCCAGCCATCCCAAGTGGAACGCAGCCCAGAGGCCGATGATGATTTTTGCCTGTGAATGACTCCTTGTGGTACGTCCTCGTATTACAGGGACCGCTTGTCCTAGAGCAGCGGTTCCCAACCCTGGGGTCGCGACCTCAAATGGGGTCGCGAAAAAATTTCGAGGGGTCGCGGCGAGGTGGCTGGGGTCGCCTGGGGTCGCGGTGGTTTCCCGGCTAGCCCACACGCCGAGCACTGGCGGGGACAACTTTGCGGCAATACTGCTCCCAAACTAAGGCAGATAATCGCACTCCGTAACAAAGGCATGAAAAAGGAAGGTCCAAAGACCAATTTGTTCGTTGAGGAAGGACGAAATACCACCTCGAATCAGACGCAGTGACTGCTTAAATGCCGCAAAGTTGATCACAACGGTCACAAATGTCTGTAAAAAGTCGTGTTTTGGGCTGAATTTAGGCATCTACAGCGTCTGACCTGACAAGGGAACGTTTTTAGGTCATACACTCCGATTTCGACCAAACTTTGGGAAATCGTTCGTTTTCATACTAGATTAAGATGGGCCATCAAAGTTGGTGCAACAATATATATCTAGAGGGTCAAATGGGGCTTCAAAGTTGAGTTTTTTCCACTTGTTTTCCTGCTTTTTGGGCCTTAAAGGGCGAGTTTTGGAGTGGACTCTCCGTTTCAAGATCTACATCATTTCCGATGTTTTTTGGGTCGCTGATGCCGCAAATCACCACTATTTGAACGTCCGATCAAGTTTTCGACCAATTCCGACCAAGTTGCAACCAAATTAGGGCCTTTTTCCGACGTAAAATTTGCAGTTTGAGTGATATGAGTTATATATTGATACCTATGTTTTTCGGGTCGCCGAAACCAAAAATCACTATCATTGGAACGCCCGACCAAGCTTTTACCCTCTATTCTTTGGCATCCAAACTGGCGAAGAAAAAAGAGCTGCTCACCTTTCCTCCCCTAAAAACATAG